CTAGCAAGTCCATATCCAGGTCCAGCCATGGAAAATTGAGGAAGCCTAAACGTGCAAAGGCGGTGAATGGCGTGCACCAATGTGAGATTTGTGGCAAGACGTTCCAAACCGGTCAGGCACTTGGTGGCCACAAAACGTATCACCGAGTTAAGCCAGTTGTTGATCCATCCAGGGGCTGGTTAGTCCGGAGAAAAGCCAAAGAACAATTGTCTGGAGAATCTGGTCAAGTTATCGATAGATTCAGCAGAATGCCGTTGCCAAGGCCAGGAGAATTGTCTGGAGAAGAAGCCCATCCATCTGTACAATCTAATAATCAAGGGGTTACTAAGAGGCTGCTAGATTTTGATCTTAATATTCCTTATATAGAATGAATTTCTCTGTATTATTTGTTCTATGTCTCAAATCTCTGAAATTAGGTCCTCAAATTTTTGCTTTAAGTAGACCCTTTTAGAATTAACTTTGTTTTCGACTGTGAGAGTTTTATTGCTTCTACAATTATTAAGTATATTATTTTCAGGTCTGAGTGTGGTGGGTTGGCCCTGGTTCAATGGTTGCCATTTTAGATGTGCGTATATAATTAGAATTTTCTTTGCTCAAATCTGCTGCATTTTATTGGCACTGCCGGGTTACCACTGCTTTGATTCTTACATGTTTTGATCATAATGAAAGCTCCTCTTTTTGTTTTTTTTTTTAATTCTTTTCTTTTCAATTTGGTTCATTGAGTCATTCTCTCCATGTTTCATTTCGATGGTAATACTCATGGTTTGAGCGGCTAAGCCCTGGTTGTCACTGCACTTTGGACCTGGGGTTCGGCAACATCTTCAATTTTGTTTGCAATTTCACTTGAAAACAAAACAAGGAAAGAACTGAAACCTTCCTACACTGAGTAGTAAGTTTGTTGATAGTAATCAGTTTGGAAGTTTGGATGAAGCTTCTCTTTTCGTTCCCTTCTCTTTTTCCGCTTTTCTCTTCTTGAAAGATTTATGTTTATAAAGTTGCTTGCATTATGTGCAAATGATTCAAGCTACATATTGGGAGACATAATCAGATGAGTGCGGAGATTTAAATCTTGAGAAAGATAATTAATGAATAAGCCATGCTTTAATTGTTTATGTGCACCTCTTTTATTTTATTAAAATTTTCAATCAAAAAACTCAGAATCCATAACCAAATCTTCCTTGTAAAGAAATAATTAACAATTTATAATATGATTTCATAATTCATACCCATTGCTTTGTCTTTTGGATTTTGTTTATATGAGAATGTTTCAACAAAAATCTGAAAACGAGGTGAAAACCACCCACCTCTATAGAAATTTTCGTTTATAAAATAATTTTGTCATACATTTTATGGTGTGAGATTGATTCTCGTGTGTGTGTATATATACAAACACTTCAATTAAGATATGTTTTAAAAACCTCTATGATTAATTAAAACAAGTGCTATTATTATTTATTAAAAATAAAAACTAATAAAGATTATCAAATAAGCCTACAATTTGATTCTTAACATCAATCAAATGATTGAAATTCACTCCCATCGTTCCGATGTGACGCTTTCATCTTCACCTCCATTTATCAAATATTGCTGGTTAAAACTTTTATTCTGTACTTCTTTTTCAATCCGTGATCACACTTATTTCGTCATATTTTACGCAAGTTAATCCTTATCTTCCTTTGCTAAGTGAACATAAATTTATAGCAAATTTGGAACCTAGAGTACAATTCTATCAAGAGAGAGATATTTTTTTAATAATAATTTTTTACTGTTTAAAGAAAGAGTAAAATACAATAAATTTTTTACTTTTAATCATAATTATATGCAAATCTATTAATTTTTAAATAAACATTCCATCTTAAAAAATATTTTTGCTAGATACATAAATCTGGCCGTTAATCAACTACTAATATTTCCACTGTACATATAAATCTTACCATTAATCTACCGTCAATATTTTCATTAATAATTTTACTTTTTATTAATTTAAAAAATTATTACTATGTAAATTAGATTTTTTAAAATTTTTTTTCTCTTATTCAAAAAAAAAAAAAACTCTTAACCAGCCACTCGTGTCGTGCTCCCTTAAAGAGTGCATCAAAGGAGCACCAAATCTGGTGCACTCCAAAAAAGCTCGAGATATAGGGTGCATGGCTAGATCTCGCGCTTCCTTCCATAGATCCAATCAAATCTAACATTTCAGATGCTTCCTTCCATAGATCCAATCAAATCTAACATTTCACGATCAAATCTGATCGCGAGGTGACTAATTGATGTAAGAGAACGTTGCCGACCGACCTAAGAGAAAAAAAAGGATAAAAAAAGAAAAAAAATATTTTAAACATTTTACGTTTAGATATTAACACTATCTACATGTTTGGAGCAGAATATCTATTTTAAAAATTAATAAACTCGTATATAATTATGATTAAAAATTAAAAGAGTCCGTGTATTTTAACCTTAAAGAAATTATTAGGATACAAAGTTTTCAGTTAACATAGTTAGGCACAAAGAAAGCACACTCACCACCTCAAATTTTCAAACGGGTTTTTTTCTTCCCAGAAAACCATTAGTTACAGTTGCATTTAAGCACATATTGTTTTACAATTCTAAGCAAACAGCATCCTTGAAAGGTTATATTCAACAGTAGTTTGAGTACGGAAAAAAGCCTCTCCAAACAGAGAGTCGAGGAAGAGAGGGTTCTACCTTTTTTTTTTTTTTTTCATGTATAATTGTTTTAAAGTTTCTATATCCAGATATATCATTCTTGGTTTTTTTCAACAGTACCCAGAAATGGAGGGTTCTGTAAGCATACATGGAGTGGAAGTAGTGCACCATATTCAACAATAAGATCAAACCTGCAGCCTGGTTCACCAGTTGGACACACAAATAGGTCTACTACTACTACATATCTCCCAAGTGTTGTACTTCCCGGAGGATACCTTATTGCTTTACATATTTGCCTACTAGTATACTCCACCTAATTCTTCAGAACACAAGCATAAATCATAATAGGACACTTCAAGAATTTAGCATTTGGTAACATGACATTCCATGTATGTTCCATTCTCTTATTGTATGTCCACCATAATTTGGCAAGCACTTAATAAGGATTTGACTCTATGTTCTTGTTCCACCTTCAGCCTTGGATTCCTTCCACCAGCATTACTACCCTCTCCCTTGTGCCACAGAAGATAATTACAAGAAGACGTGACCTACCAGTAATAAAACACTCTCCCTCGTGCTAAATAATTGTGCAAGCAATCTTTTTCTTTAACCTATTGCATATGGTATTGACAACATGAGAATTGAGATGCAGCATGCATTCCTTTTTCTTTTCTTGGCTAACTCAGAACGGCATATACATATTTGAAGCCACTGTTATCTTATTTATTTATTTTGGAAGGGGGGAAGGGGTGGTGAGGGTGGATTGTAGAGGAGAGATTTGCCATGGTCAAAGATATTAAGTAATTAAGCAAAATATATTGCGCTCCCAAGCTGACAATATCATTCTTGCAAGGCCCAAGTAAGTTTTTAATGCATAAATACATGAGTACGTACATAAGAACATGAAGAAAATAGTCTCATAGTTAAAACAAGACACATGAGATCAAATCAATTTTATATCAAGACAATAGGAGTAAAATGGCATCCTTTTAATTTATCATCTACTTGACGAACACTGGCATTATCAGCAGCCTCTATCACCTACCGAACTCCTTTTCAAATTCTGAGTTCAAATTGAGTTAGAACAAAAAAAAATTCCTAAGCCTAGAAGTGAGTATTATCCAGAGTCCACTGCCAACAGCTTTTAGCTCACGCAGAGGTTGTAATTAGCCAAGCATATTAGGTTAGAAAACCCAGGCACCAATGCTCAAGTCTTTCTTTTTTTATCTCATTATTACTTAATTTTCTGCCTATTTACCGTGAAAATTAGCCAATTTTGCTTCTTTCCACTTTATTTCCAATATATAGGTAGCACTTCACACTCCCAACACCATACCTTTAAATCCTACCAACATATCAAGACATTGCCGAAGTTAAGGATAATGCATTGACAGATCTTTTCTTCTCCATTAACATAGATATTACTGTTAACGTCACTGATATTGAGATGCTCAATTTACAGCTTTCACAATAGGACATCCTTAAGCTATCAGCATATAACACCTAAGATCAATGCCTCTACCAAAATGTAGAAACCTAAGTACATGGGAAACCATAAATTAGAGCTCCATATATCAACAAATATATGAAGTTAACTTACACATCCATGCCAAAAACCATCGATAAGCAAAAATCCAGTAAATATCACGCCTTCCAATATTGCAAAAACTTCAAAGCCATAAAACATAATAATTCCAAATCACATTTAAACTTGTCCCAGCACAAGAATAAACAACGTATAATTATTGAACGAACACAAACGAGCAACATTTGCGATTATATTAAGCCATTAATTCAGATGTTCATACAAAACCCTACAATTCCAAACATGAACATAATTGAAAAAAAAAAAAACCTAAACCCATATATGTTTTCACTTATCTTTAGTAGAAACGCCGTATTTCTCTTGCATCCTAGCGATTTCCTCTTCCTTCTTCTTCTGATCAAACTTCTTGCTCATCTTCGCCTGCTGATAATACAAGACAATCAAATACCTATTCGCGACGTTGAAACCAGAGAGATGATCCACCGCCGTTTTGGCATCGTAGATGTCCTCGTAGACAACGAAGGCGGTGCCGCGTGTTTCTTTGCTGGTTCCGATGCGTATCTGGCGAATGGCTCCGTATTTGCCGAAGATATCGTACATCTCCTCGCTGGATATGTTGAATGGAAGGTTTCGAACGTAGAGGACCCGGTTGACTTCCGGGGGGAGCCGAGTGTTGCCCTTGCGGAGACTGATTGTCGTCATTGGGTCAGAAGAGAGACAGGGAAAGGCTCTGAGGATTTTACAGAGAGCGAGACAAAACTCAGAAGATTGGGGAAATTTGTAGGAGGTGATGGGGACGGTGGATCTTTGTAGAATGAAAGCAATGGGTTGATGATTGGTTCTGGCCCATGTAAAACGTTTCGGCCTTCGACTAGTATTTAGTCATGAAATCCATTGAAAATGTGGGCTTCAAAAGCCCTAACGGTTTCTTTTTGAGCCCCTTTGTAGGTACGGATGTACAAATTCGAATAAAATCGAATCGAAATTAGTTTAATTTTTGATTCGGGTAGTTTGATATTCAGCTATTTTAATTAATTAAGTTTGATTAAAATAGTTTAATCAATTTAATTTTTTATTTTAAAAATTTTAAATTAAAGTAATCGAATTAATTGAATTGCGTAATACTTAAAAAAAGATAAATGAGCTTTGAGTTCAAAAAATAATAATTTCTTCTGTCTTCATTATTTATTATTCAATTTAAAAACAAAACAAAAAAAATATCAACAATTTAAAAAAAAAAACAAAAGAAAATCTCAACATAATATCTTGTAAAAAAAAGGCCACATCTTCACATTTTTTCCCCTCTATTTAATGAGTTCAGTTTTCTGTAATCAAAGCAAACTAACTGAAGTAGTTTGGTGTTCAATTTTCATTATTACAATTACTTTGATTTGGTTTTAATTTTTTAGAGAAAGAATTCAATTTTTTTGATTTTTGGATTTCCAAAATTGATTTCATTAAAGTAATTGTTTGCACACCCCTATTTGGAGGAGAAAAAATTGATCATCTGCTTAATTGTTTAAAAAACAAAAAATCTTGTCTCTATTAGAGTTGTGAGTTGCAATTATTAATTTTTTTTTGGTAAACATGTATTCTTTTGGCATTTCAATCTTTTACCATAATCAATTATTGTAAAATTAGATGATTAAGAAAATCGTTACTTTTAAAATTTTTATGCAATCGATGTAATTAATTTAATTATTAATTTAATCAGTTACATATTATTATATTAATACGTAATTTTATCGGTATTGGTTGGTCTAACCTATTTGTGTTTATAAACTTGTTTCTTGCAATTTACTAATTAATTAAATGTTGAGTCCAATCAAATTGTATTGTCAAGTAGGTAAATGTATCTTTTTAATGAATTGAATTTTTTTTTTGACTTGAAAGGTTTTAAGATTCCTTTCTTATCAATATAGAAAATTTGAATTCAACTTTTCGAGTAGAAGAAAATACACATAAATTATACATTAAATCGAATATTTAAATATAATTAATTATTATTTTTTACTATGTTTAATAATGTAATAACATGATTGAAACCATCATAATTATTTCTAATATATTAGCATTACAATTTTGAGTCCTAGACTTTATTCTCCCTCATAGAGGTAACAATCATAACGTTAGACAAAGCCTAGGTTGTCGTTAAAAGATGATGCTGGGCCATTATTACAAGGTCTAAATATTGAAGGCCCGTCTCCAAATACGGCCTTGATGTCAAAACTCGGTTTTCATTTTTTTGTTTTTATATATTTTTGTCTGCATATGGTGAATTAATATAGCCTAAGTATTTGGGACTATGCTAATTGAATGAAAATGAAAAAGAAAAATTTAGATAAACAATTTAACAACTTCTAGTGAACAGAAAAATAAAAATTACTACATAAATACTAACGTAAAAGTGAAAAAAGAAGAAGAAGAAAGAATTAATGCATCGATGGAAAAGAAACAATTAAACTTTGTTATTTGAGATATTTATCTCGCCAATTTTAAAGATTTAAAATTGTAAAATTCAACCTATTAAGTTGATCGTTAAATATTTTAAGGTTTTTTTATTTAGAAGAAGAGAGATTTGAATCAATTTTTTTGATAATAAACAAATACATATATTTATTATAAAATCAAATGATCGGATACTTTGAAGAATTTTAAATATAACGTAATAATATAAAATTTTTTAAACTTTCTTTCGTTTTCCTAGGCTTTAGGAGCTAAGTTTCTCTCGTACAATTAATATTGTTTTATACATTAAAGAAGGAATTAAGTAAAAAAAGGAAAAAAAAAGAAAAACTAATAGTTGTGGATTGTGTTCAATAGGAAGAGTTTGGTATCACGAAAGAATTGATAAGGTTTAGGAATCACGTAATCTTGCTACTATTTTTGACCCAAAAATTGGTGGATACATGGTGTTTTTTGACCCGCAATGTGCAATCCAGCCAGCCATGAAATGCACAAACTGAGTTGTACTAGAATTTTGACTTGAAGCAAGACAATGAAATGGACAAATAAAATAAATTTGGGATTGCCATGTTTGTGATTGATAATTGCCATAGAAAATTTGTGAATTGCTTGCTTTTACAATCAACTTTTATCATGATGGAAACTTTTGATTGCAAATTTTATCTTATTTAATATTGTATTTGTGATTAAAATTCAACAACTATGATCAAATGCATGCAACTTTAATAGTAATACATATCAAATCAACTCTAGAAAAGAAATTAAGCGAATATAGTTTAGTGCTTATTAAATAACAAATTTAAAAATCAACAACTTGTTATATTTTTACTATTACGGAGTAGAAGGTTTCTTCAGCATATATGTTTAGTTTTTCTTTCACACCATAGGTAACCATAGTAATAGTCCAACTCCGGACTTGCATCATTTATGGAATAAAATAGTACTAATTTCATAAAAATATAACTTGATATGAAAATTGCTCAAGGATAAAACCAAAAAAAGGGAACAACAATAATTCGCGGTTCTGTCTGTTGTCTATACCCACAGATTGAAACCAATTCTCTACTCTTGAGAAATTGAAGTAAAATAAAATATTTTTTAATTGTTTCCCAGCATAAAATGAGTTATAAGATGTTTCTTCTAAGGCTCTCAAAAAGCTATTCACTTTTCTAAAATTTAGAGATACACATTTTATGATATAAATGTCTAAAGTAGAGTAAGATTAACACTCAATGTAGAATAAGAAGTTTGAAATTGTACAACAACAAAAATTCTAATCAAATAAGATTTTAAATTCTAATAAACTTAAAATTAAACTTGACTAACTACTAGTCATTTCATTGGGCAAATTTTTTTAATTTTATGATAGAATAACTCTCAAAGCCAGCTCACTGTTAAAATTTTATTAAAGATGGAAATTCGAAGAACACCGGAAGAGAGACATAAACCTTGCCTTCAGAATTACATTTGAGATTATAAGAAAGAAGTCCTAATAGAAGTACTACTTTCCTTACATATAGTTTATGAATGCTTGGGATAAGTAATACCACTCTTTTACTAAAAGCTAAAAATACAAAATAAATAAGGAGTGTTACTTTTTTACATTTATTTGAATCTAACATAAAGAAAATTAATCTTATCTTACTTTAAAATACCACTTAATTCACCTTTAACATTGTTGAAGACTGGGATGCCTTCATGTGAATGGTCTTGGTTAGAAAAACCGTCTGTTGCTTGGTTTCCTTCACAATGAATGTGACTGCTTCTATAAGAAAACTTTTTCAAACAATTCCATGTAAAAACTAAGATATATCTTGTATTATAGGACCCTTTAATATTTTCTTGTATCATGTGTACTAAAATCTTTGCATCGATTTCAATCCAAATTTTAGAGAAATTGTATTCATGACATAAAAATAAACCTCTTTGAAGAGCTAGAAGTTCGGCTTTCAAAGAATTATTAGAACCCAAATTCTCTAAAAAACCAAAAAGAATTACTTGTGCGATCTTGTACAACTCCTCCACCCGCAGTTTGTAGGAAATTCTTGGAGCTCCCATCCATGTTCAACTTGATTTCATCTAAGCAAGGCTTTAACCATCTAACGATTTGTGGCGGCGTAGATGGTTGAATTGGAAAGTTGATACTCACAACTTAGTTATCTAGATATCACCTTTCCATTGTTCTCTGCGTAATAAATTCCCTAGATGAAGCTGCATCAAAAGTTTCCCACTACGCCATATAACTTGTTGATGGTAGACTCCTAATTGCTTGTGTTTAGAGTTATTCCTTTCTACCCAAAGGAACCAACATATGAAGATAGGCAATAATACCCGAATGTGACCAAGCTTTGTGTAATTTCCTAAATAAAACCATGCCCAAACCACTTGCATGATGTTTTGCGGTCTCACAACCGAAACCTGGAAGAATTGAGCAAAATAATTCCATACTTGACATGCAACAGGGCTCAAGCACATCAAACAACATTTCCTCTAAATGGATGTGTTGGCATTTTGATGCCAATTGAAATCCCTTGGCCTTTAACCTTATATGTATAGGCAACCAATCATGTAGAACTCGCCAAAAAAGAGAAAAAGATTGTTAATGGGATGCTTCTATGCCAAACAAGATCAAATTCATTACTTATGGGCTGCTTTTCGCGAATCAATTCCTATGCACTTTTAATAGTAAAGTTTCCATTAGAAGTGGGAATCCAGTTAGCTTGTACAGTGATGCTCCAAAGTATGTAATTGACAGCTTTTTATGTGCAAACCTTGTCACTGACTGAATAATCTGGAGCCTAGAATTAGTTCCTTTATTGTTAATAATAAAGCAACTCTTTTGTTAATTAATTCTCTGTCCAGAAGCTAATTTATATTTCTGTGAAAAATTCATGATCCTCCCAAGTGCTGTGCGGTTTCCATCTGTAAATATGACAATGTCATACGCAAATGATAAGTGGCTAATGGCCATTGAACATCTTGAATAATAATGTAGTGATGGATATTGTTCAAATAAATTATTCAACCCCCTAGATAAGTATTTCGCTGCCCAAATAAAAAGCAAAAGGGATATAGAGTCACTTTGTCGCAGCCCTCTTTCGAATTTAAGAAAACCTACCAAGGTGCCATTGAGGAGCAGAGAGAATCAACAGTTTGAGATACATCTTTGAATCATATCAACCCAATGTTCAGAAAATCCAAAGTGCCTCAATACAGTGTATAAAAGCTCTCAATCTAGCCAATCATATGCCTTTATCATGTCGAGTTTCAATGCCACATTTCCTCCACGTACTTTCTAATCAATCAGATGAATTAATTCCTGTACCAATTAAGATATTGTTGCTAATGAGCCTCCCACTTACAGAATCACTTTGATCATTTGAAATGAGATTAGGCAACAGTTTTGCTAAACAATTAGCACTTAATTTGGTAATTATTTTCTTAAGTACAGTGCATAGGCTTATAGGACAAAAGTCCTTCCAATGTGAGGGAGAGGAATTTTTGGCAGCAATGTACTAGTATAGTTGAAGTTACTCCCCTTGGCAATGCTGCACCATGAAAAAAGTCCCTAACCACCTCCAATAAATCTTTGGATATTATATTCCAACAAAACTGACAAAATAGTGAAGAAAAACCATCCGGATTGCGACACTATTTTTGTCGAAACCAAAGACAACATCTTTCACTTCTTGCAAAGTTGGGGTTGCACATAAAAGATTGTTATCATCTGCAAAAAATAACAGAAGGAATTAGTGAAGCATTAAACCAGGAAAGTTCACATTCCTCCGACTTCATGAGGTTAGAGGAAAATTCCACTGCTGAAGATTGCATTAGTGAAGGCTCCTCAATTAAATTTCCATCACTATCCTGAATTCTGAAAATATGATTTTGAATCTGTTTTTTCTGCACCCTGAAATGGAAAAATTTAGTGTTTCGTTACACTTCCACTATCCATTTTACACCAGATTTCTGCAGCCAGAAAAGTTCTTCAGTGCTAAAATTATGGTTGAGTTCGGCATATGCTAGATCCATGCCTTCCTTATTCTTTGTGGCTTGTTCATCATGCTACATAATCTCACATTCGGTTGCCTTTTTTCTACTATTCGCACCTTAGAAAAAATATCACTAATACTGCATTGTTCCAACGTCTTAAACCACTCTTAAGCCGATGCTGCTTCAAACAAAATACTACAGTTCCAAACCATGTATAGGCATGCTCCAATTTTTTTCCACAAAGTTTATAAATAATGATGTTTAGTCCAAGCATGTACAAACCGAAATGAAGATGGACCCCTTGCTGTTAAGTTTGAGCATGAAACAAGTAATAGACAATGATGAGAACCCTCCCTTGCTAGGTGTTGCACCCATGTAGCAGAAAATAATTCAGCCCATTCCACATTACAGAAAACCCGATCAAGCCTCTGAAAAATGAAATAATTAGCCCAACTGTACGGATTACCTTCATATCCTGCATTCGAAAGGTCACAATCCATTATGGTTGACCGTCTAAATTCAAATCCTTTGTCCTAATTCCTGTTTCAAATTTCACAAATTATCTGGTCTTTTTATTATTAAGTTAATAAATGCTTGATTTTAATTTTTTTCTCTCTTTCTTTATTCACAGCCGACACCCTTCTTCCTTGAAGCCCTCCCCTCGTGCTTTCCAATCCCCATCTAACATAACCCCAAAATTACAATTGTAATTTTTTGGAGACATGCCCGTCATCTATTTAATCCATATTTTTTTTTGTTTTTTGAAACCCTAATTGCCAACACAAACAAACTACCTTTGCCACCATAGCTGGTCCAAGAAACTGGTAATTGTGATTATCTAGCTTTGGTTTTGAAAGCTCCAAATTTAACTCTTGCCCATAACTTGGATACTTCTCCTTTTGTTGTTATTGTTCTTCTTCATCTGTAGTCAACCACAGTTGCCTTCTTCAAGGGACTCTGCGTTGGCCTTAACTTGAAATTCACTATATTTAAAATCCAGAGATGGGAATATTGTAATAAAGTTATTTTTGCAACTCTGGGGCCATTTTAAAATCCAAGAGTCGGACGTTCACCCAAGAGCTCATCTTTTACTCTTATTCTCAGAGCTCAGGTACTAAATTTTCAGTTAATTTTTTTTTGGTAAGAAGAAAATATAATCTTTTTTTTTTGTAATTCTTTTGTTTTATGTTTATTTAATTAAAAAATAATTAATTAAAAACCCAAAAAACAGCTCAAATCATTTTTACTTTAATTGAACACACAAAAAACAAAAGGATTATATAAAAAAAAGTTCTTATTGTGTTTTTATAAAAAATTAATTAAAAATTTAATATTGTAACTTCTTTTAAGCATATAGAAGTAATCTCAAGGTGGTATATAACAAAATGTCATCATAAGGGGTTTATGTGAAATTTACAAAAAAAAAAATTATGCAAAGTACTGCAATTGAACTCTTTTGTAGAATTTATTTGTAACAAGAAAAAGGAAATGTAATCTTTGCCATTAAAGACCTTTTGTCAATAGAGAAAGAGGGAAAAAACAGAAGAGAGAAAGAGAAAAAAAATATTAATTAATAATAAAAAAAATACATGACAATATAGGAAAATTGAGACAGAAGATTTGAATTCCATCTAAATACCATTGTCAATGGTGATGTTCCCACATTAAATCTATAATATGAAGAAAGGTAGATAGGTCTCATCATAATAGCAAATTTTGTTTTCAACGGAAACTTTGCAACTCTACAACTTTTGGGCTATTGAGCAAGGGAAACAAAGGAGAAACTTTTGGACTATTAAAAGCATGGCAGTTCAAACATCAACTACTCAATTACTCTCTTTAGGAACTGAAATATATATTTGAACTCTTTGTCAAGTAGTAATCAGTGGCTTGAACTCAATTATCATTCACGAAAGACTTAAATGCAAGCTTTTGGAGAATAAAAGTGTGTCAAAGAACCATGCACCCATTGCTATATAAAATCTTGAGAATTCAGGATCAAATATTATTGAGTCTAATATTAAAATTTTAATTAATTTGGAGCGTAGTGATATCTTTTGTACTATATATCAGGCAAATCTATTTACAATGGTGTAACAATTTATGACTACATATTACATTTTTGTGAAATTCATGCTCTTTCGTTTCATATAGAATTAAATTACCTTTTGTTTCTCTCTGCTTCGGGTCACATCCGATCCCATATTCCTTTTTTAAGGCATTAATTTGTTTAATCATGTTTCACCTTCCTTTTATCTGAATTGCTCAATAATTGTAATGCAATGGAGTAAAATTCACGAGTGAATGGCAAGAAACTAATCTATTAGTATTTTCTCAAGAACAAAAAGTGTACATATCGAATACGACAACCCTTGTGCATGTTCACCTAGTTATCAACCATGATTGAACTCATAAATACCAGATGTGTTTGGATGGTGGGAAAGTAAAAGAAAATAAGGTAGAAGCAAGCAACTATTTTACTCTTCATGTTTGGAATTTTTATAATGGGGGTAATTGAACAGGGTTTGGAGTTTTACACAAACATAAATTTAACTCGTTAATAAGTATACATATTTTAAAAAAGCTGAAGTTGAATATATTTAAAAAAAATAAAAAATATTTGAAATATTTGAATCAAACTGTTTCAAAAACTTATTTTCAAAATTCATTTTAACTTCATAAGCTTAAGTTTGGCACAAGGCGGATATTAACTTCGCAAGCTTGCTTAATTTAGTGAAATGAAAACTCAAAATAACTGCAGAAGAAATAAAATTTCTATACACTAAATTGATTCCCATATTTTTTTATATTGATTATCTTCGATTATACAATTAAAGGTAATTGCTTCTCTCTCCGGAAATTTCACCTTGTTTTTTTCTAAAATTCAAACCAGACTTCTAAAATAGAATTTCAAATATTAATTATTGTGATATTTTTAAAGAACATTAATTTCTCTATTTAAAATGGTCTTTCTAAAATGAAACGCAAAACTAATAGTAGCAGTTTTTTAGGAAATAAGATAATTAATTAACCGAAGATATAACTCTTAATGATTTAATGTATTGTTTAAGATCAAAGCAATCTTTGAATTTAAGATCACCGGCCAATTTTTAAAAAGAATTAGTAACATTTTGAATCTTTTCTGAATTCTAGATTAATTATTTATGTAAAAGTTGCGAATTTTAAGCTGTGTTGTCAGTGAGTTCCGTCTTTGACACTCTTACCCCAGCTTAGAAAAGATTGAAATCCCATTAGTTGGTGCAATTTGGTTTGAAGAAAGTGGAAAATTTAGCTATAAAAGAGTTACAAGCGAATTCAATGAGTAAACACTCCTTGCCTTATTCATCAAAATTTCGTCATTCCTGCAAACTTACCAGAGTCTCGCGCATTCCAAACATTGATGTGGTAGGTCTCACGTGCTCTAACCTAACTCTGCCTTCAATTAATTTTCTTGTGTATAAATTTCACATTACCCCAAGCTAATTCTCCATGGCACTTGACACATTGCTCCTTCGGGAGCTCACAGCAGCAGCTATTCTCTTCTTTATCACACGTTATTTCATTCGTTCGCTTCTCAGAAAATCAACCAGAACGCTTCCCCCTGGCCCAAAAGGGTGGCCGGTTGTGGGTGCTCTTCCACTACTAGGGTCCATGCCGCATGTCACACTGGCCAAATTAGCCAAAAAATATGGACCTCTCATGTACCTGAAAATGGGAACATGCAACATGGTGGTGGCCTCAACTCCAGATGCTGCTCGAGCTTTCCTTAAGGCCCTTGACTTGAATTTCTCCAATCGACCCGCTAATGCTGGTGCCACCCACCTAGCTTATAACTCTCAAGACATGGTCTTTGCGGACTATGGTCCAAGGTGGAAATTGCTTCGTAAACTGAGCAATCTGCACATGCTTGGTGGTCAAGCCCTAGAGGATTGGGCACAAGTCCGTGCCGTTGAGCTAGGCCATATGCTTCTAGCTATGTGCGAATCTAGCCAAAAGGGTGAGCCAGTGGTTGTGCCAGAAATGTTGACGTATGCCATGGCCAATATGATCGGCCAAGTGATCCTCAGTCGACGAGTTTTCGTGACGAAAGGGTCAGAGTCCAATGAATTCAAAGACATGGTGGTGGAGCTCATGACCTCTGCCGGTTTTTTCAATATCGGTGACTTTATACCGTCCATTGCATGGATGGATTTGCAAGGGATTGAACGTGAGATGAAGAAATTACATAAAAGATGGGATGTGCTGTTGACAAAGATGATGGAAGAGCATGCGGTAACAGCTCATGAGCGGAAGAGTAAGCCTGATTTCCTTGATATTATTATGGATAACAGAGAAAACTCTGAAGGGGAAAAGCTCAGTTTGACCAATGTCAAGGCTCTTCTCTTGGTAAGTTGTTTTGGCAGAGTTAAGTTGTCTTTTGGCTCTGAAAGCTACCTATTGAATATATATATATATATATATATATATATATATATAAACCATGTGAAGATTAAAACTTATATTACAAGCATGTTTCTTGCCTTTGAGACAATACTGGAGTTAGTAATGTCTAATGAAGATCAAAACTTTTACTTCAAACGTTGTAGAACATATTTTCAACGTTCCATCTTCTAATTCCTATTTGTCTTTCCATTGCCAGAATCTATTCACTGCTGGCACGGACACATCCTCTAGCATAATCGAATGGGCATTAGCTGAAATCATGAAAAATTCTACCATACTCAAAAAAGCTCATGACGAGATGGATAAAGTCATTGGCAGAAACCGAAGGCTCCGAGAATCTGACATACCCAAACTGGCATATTTTCAAGCCATATGCAAAGAAACATTCCGAAAACATCCATCGACTCCCTTGAACTTACCCCGAGTTTCCTCCCAAGCTTGTGAGATTAATGGCTACTATATCCCAAGAAATACTAGACTTAGTGTCAACATTTGGGCAATTGGTCGTGACCCTGACGTTTGGGATAATCCACTAGATTTCACCCCTGAAAGATTTATGAGTGGGAAAAATGCCAAAATCGATCCACGAGGAAACGATTTTGAGCTAATTCCATTTGGTGCTGGAAGAAGAATCTGTGCTGGAACCAGGATGGGCATTGTGCTAGTTGAGTACATTTTAGGCACATTGGTGCACTCTTTCGAATGGATCCTACCAAACGGTGGGGAACTAAACATGGATGAGGCCTTTGGCCTTGCGTTGCAAAAGGCTGTGCCTCTTTCAGCCATGGTTCGCCCACGGCTCGCCCCAAGCGCTTACGTTTCCTAAGCTCAACGATCCTAATGCCAAGCCCCAAATTCTATCCAGCCAGATGGCTTATATATGATCATTTTTTTCGTAGTTGTTTTGGTCAAGGCATCTGAAATTGAAGAATGAAGTATTTTTCAATTGAAGCTATGTTTAGTTTCAAATATTCTAGGCTTTCTTGTAAGCTAACGAATTACAATGAATAATTGCCTTTTTTTATTATATAGTCGGCATCCTAAGAGTTAGTTATAGAACAAATATAGTCTAGTATACATACTGTTTTATTGATATACGAAATTATCTCTTCCATGATGGTATATTGATTAAAAAAATTTAAATGTCAAAAAAATGGAAAGAAGGAGTTTGGTATCAGGGTATCTACCCACGTTCTCTATGTACTTAATTAAATTACATTGCAGTGTTTGTTTTGAAATAAATCAACACAATATAAGATTGTAATGCAATCGCATTACAACCAATGAATATAATGTGATTGCGCTGAAAAATCAATAAAATCTTAAATTACAACTTACTCTACAATATTCTCAAACTTGATTTGATATTTTTGTCTTTTTTTCAATAATTAAAATTCTAAAATTTAATTTTTATCACTTCAAAAAAATTTAAAAAATTAGAAATTTTTTGAAATTTTTTCATAAAAATCTACAAATTTTGAAAACCATAAAAATATTTTTCAATACTTAGAAATTCTGATAAAGTTTATAAAATAAAAAATTAATTATTAAAAAAATTCTAAAATGATAAAAAATAATTTTTTATTTTTAAGAAATTATAAAAGATTAGAAAATCCATAAAATAAAACATATATTTAGTTCATTTTAGAATAAAATAGAAGATATTTTTTTATGCTCATAATTTTTTAAAATTATAAAAAATATTTACTCTCTGTAATTTTTAATTAACTTTTAAAAATAAAAAATATTTCTTTTTTACTTTCAATTATTTTTAGAAAATCTCTTTTGAGTTTTTATATTTTTGTTTTTTTCCAAAAAGAATTATTTCTATTTGTAATGTTTTAGGAATACTTTCACATAATAATAATAACAATATATATTAAAATTTTCAAAAATACATTTTAATACATAAAAGTAATTTTGAAAATTAACATTACATTCCCAATAAAGTGTTTGTAAACCAAACACTGTAATTATATCTTCTCAACATTAATCACACTTTGCTTAAAATATCAAATGCTGTAATGTTATTTTACCCGTGATAACATTCCTTGCAATGTAATTACATTATAAGGCACCAAATACAGCCAAAATGTCTAGAAAAATAGATTTGTGACATGATCATAAATCACTTACGTCATGATTTAGGTATAATTTTCAAATAAACCCCTAAACTATTCAAAAAAATTCAAATAAATACTTATTCTTTTATTACGTTTAATTAAGTCTTTATACTTTTATTTTGGATGAAATAAACTCTTGTGACTAATAGTAGAATAATTATCATTAATCAAAATGTCAATTGCTATTTTATGTCCATATGGTGCTGACATGATATTGGTATAAAAAGTGAAAAATATGATATGATCATGTCATCATATCACATTAACAAACCATGTTATCATCATTATGATATGTCAACAAGCATTAGTGCCATGTTTCATAGAACGATAAGTAATATTTTGATTAAGTCAATCATTAATAATAAATATTTATTTGATTCAAAATAAAAATATAAGGACTTATTTAGCTAAAAATAAAAGGAGAAAACTTGATTAAACGTAATAAAAGTATGTGAGCTTATTGAAAATTTTCTGAATAGTTTAAGTATTTTGTTAAATATCATGCCCCATAATTTATTTGACATTGAAATAACTTTGTTTGTTAGGTATTTACTTAGTACTTCTTGCAATCATATTAATTAAATGAATTTTCACTCTCATCCATGAATGTAAAATCCCATCTTAAACTCCACAAATGAAAAAAGTGTATTTAAAATTTAATTTGATAAAATGAATAAATTTCAGTTTTTTTCATAAAATAACAAATGGTCATATTGTCTTTGAATAAGGAATTATTAAGGTAATTATCAAGTTTAATCGAATTGAGTTTACATAATTGGATTATTTTTCAAGTAGAAGTGAAGTACCCAAAAACAAAAACTTGACTGAACTCAAGCCTTAAAAGTTTTGAATTGCGGTGATACGTCACTTGGTCAACTCGAATATTGTTAAATATTTACATATATCAAAAGTTGTCCCTAAATAAACTAATTGGTTGACATTTGTATAGTCTAATTATTTGATACATGGTGACTTGATTTGGGTTGAATTGTCCCTAGAGCATGTGTGGTATTTTGTTATTTGTTGAGGGTGTATATTTGATTTGTTTTACTGATGAAGTTTTGGGTATTTTGAAAGATATTGAGGATGATTTTGTCTGTTTATGTTTACTTCAACATATTATTTAATAATATAGATTTTTAAATAAAATATACATTTTTATATTAATTTATTAATTAAAAGAACATATAGCTTCAATATATTGCTTAATAATATAGATTTCGTTTGCTTATGAGGTTCTTTGTTTAGTTTTCTCCAAGTCATAGAAATTGGTTGTTGGGTTTCTTTCTTTTATTCTTACTTTTGGTCAATTTTTGTTTTTTAATGTTTTCGGATTGATGGATTTTAGTTTGCATGTAATTGATTTTTGCTTTTGTTCCTCATTGCGATTTTTTTATTTGTTGCTCATTGATGATTGTATGTTATTTGTTTTATTTTGTTTAATTATCATTATTAATTTTGAAGATATTTTATTTATGTTGATTTTTAAGACATCTTAAATGAGAGACTATGGGGAGCATGATTTGTTAGAAAGAAAAAAAAAAGGAAAAAGAAAAGCTGAAACATAGTTAGACAAGTATTTTCTTTTTTGTAATTTTTTGATATTAAATTCTCTATTTAGTTATTCTCTCTTTTTAATTTTTTGTTATTATTTCTTAATATTTTATTTCTTTACTAATAATATTTACAATTTGTCTTTTTTCCAAAAAATTGTCATACAAGAAAACATTAATTACCGATTGTTGTTGCCTTTTTTATACATGAATTTTTCTATTTTTTAAGTTGATTTGGTTTTTAGATTAATTTCTTGGAATGCGATTAATTAGTGTTGCTTTATTTTGTTGTACAATCTCAATTTTTACAGGTTCAAGATAACTTCCAATTATAATTGTTTCAAAGGTATTTTATATATTATTCTTATTTTATATCTCAATTTCATGATTTTCTGTTTATTCAAGTTTTATTATTTGTGTTCTTTATTATTTTTATTCTTATAATATTGTTGCTTTCATACAGAAACTAGTAACTTTTCATCTAGGTTCTTAAATTTTTTCTTTGATTTTTATCTTATATAATTAGGTATATGGTTATACTTTTCTATTGTAAACAATAATTTACTTGCATTTTTAACTTAAGTTGTATCAATTATTGATTTGTTTTACCTATTACTCATCTTATCTCATATACATCACATAAGCTTATTTTAAATTATCTTTTGAGTAAGAATATGTCCTTTACTAAAAATATATTCCTTAATTTACATGTTTGTCATTATTAGTTTGCTATATGTTTTTCTTTCAACTCATTTAATATTTTTTTTGTAATTAATTTTTGAATATTCAAAAATTTCATAGATAAGTGTATTTTTACAAAATATAATATTAGTTAACCATTCACTTTATAAATGTATATTATTAAAACCATACTAATAGAATATTATCAAGTTATAGATTTAGTGAGTTTTGACATTTGGTTAGTATTTCTCCTTTTTTTTTAATTTTTATTAATGTTTAATTTCTTTACTGATTATAGTTACAATTTTATCATTTTTTTAGAAAAACATTGTCGTGTAAACAAATATGAACTACCAATGGTTTTTTTTAATGAATGAATTTTTTCTTTTTTTAAAAATTGATGTGATTTTTTGATTAGTTTTCAAGAATGCAATTGATTAGTATTATTTTAATTTTACAAGGTTTTTATGGGTTTCTCTTTCTAGAATTGTTTGTCTTTTTCTTCTTTAGTGTTTCCGCTTAGGTTTTTCTCTTCATCCGTTTCTTCCTCATTTTCTTTGTTTTCTCTTTCTATTTCTTTTCATTTTCTAAACTTATTTATCCTTTAAACCAAATCTCTAATTTGTTTACTATATTTGTTATTTCTGTTTTCACTTTAAACTTTTTTACATATAACTAATTTATATATATATTTAGCACTCGAGTATTTAGTTCATTGTTAAGTACTTGATCCTTCTACTTAAAAAATAAAGTTCTAAGCTCTCTTTTTCGAATTATAAAATATATATATTTAATTTTTTAACTTATTTTGTTTTTAATAAGAAAAATAATACCATTTACGAATTTTGATATGTGTTTTCAATACTATAATAGTCTTCAAGTTAACTCGACATATAACCATCAAAATATCTATTGATTTTTAGATATTTATTTTTACAAATTACAATGTAATTTCATGTTTATAAATGATACGTTGATTTACTATTTATTTTTAGATAATTATATTTATTATTAATATAAATTAATTTTATATTTTATTCATAAATCAAATAATTGTATCCTAAACGCATGGCACGGATTACACTCTAGTATGCATAATAAGAACCCCTTTTGCCAAGTAAACGTAATGTGCGTTTGGTCAGAACAGCTGACAGCACAAGTTTCAACATAAAACAATTCAATATTGAGCTTGCGACACCTGCACTATTCATGCATAAAATTATACCTGACACCTCACACAATCACTTAGGACACAATTCATCAATTTCTTGACGGCTACATAACATGCATGAAAGTCGTATTAACACCTGCCACCCTTAAACATTGATTATAACCAAGCCATAAGCAAACTTAGGGCACAATGCTAGGAACAATATTTTAATGTAGTTCTTTAGCAATCAAAGTTGTTCATTTAATCTAAGTCAATAGAATTAGTTCTTTATTCATTAAAAAATAGATTTAATTAGTGTACTATATTAATTAAAATAAAAAGAAAATATATTCGCTATTATTTAATTTATTTTTTTTTTCATTACTTACCTGTCGCAATTA